GAGGATGTTCGGAAACTCTTTGTTCCGCTTCTTCGTGAATGGATGGTTTATTTCAAGTCATCGCACCTCTCTGCAGAACATCTCATCATTGGGCCATAATTCATCCGTCTGCTTTTATGGCTGATTACGGATCGTGCATGACTGTTCACTCGGTCCTGCATGACTGTTCACTCGCTCATGTATGCCGACATAATCATGATGTGCTTGCAGTTCAGCTGTGCTATTTGTGTGTTCTGTTACGTCATAGGCAAGTATCCATGGCTAGCCCTCCGCAAAATGTAGCATCCTTGTACTCACTTGCGCAACAAAAGGATGTACAGGCTTGATGCCCTGTCTCCGCAATACAACTAGCCATTTTTGCATCGTTGGAATCAGTCAGATCAACATATATGACCTTAACAACGATACCTTTCCCTTGTGATTCATTTTTCTTCTCCGTGGAAGATGAGCGAGCATGTGCAGATATCATTCGAGACGGATCAGACTGAAGAATGTAGTCCTCGCCGAGAACTGGATCTCTGACCGGTGATTCCAATCCGATCGAACATGCTGAAGCACACATGTGAGCAACTACGTTGTTCGGGACAATGAACGTGTCAGACAGAGAGATAAAACCACATACTATCCACAGGTTCCTGTCTGGGTCGTAAGACATTGCCGCGTACTCGTCTGCAAACGCCGAAGCCAGCGCCGTGGCAAATGGTTGCCAATCGGACAAGTTCTGCGTCGTCAATTGACTCGTCAGGGCGAGTTGCTCCAGTTCCCACAGTTTTTCCTTGAGTTGCAGATGAGCGGCAGCAGATGATGGAGTGTACTCTGATTTTGTGTTATAATGGTTTGCGAACACCACGTTGAATGTGTACTTGTGGAAGTTACCTGAGTTCATACCGGCTTTTGAGATCAAGAAACCAAACCAGTCGACTGCCAAATTGCTGTCAAACCATTTCGTATGATCGTTTTCCACCTCCGAGGTGTTGAAAGAGTCCGAACTAAAGGTCGTGTAATCTCCAAAGTCCCAGTTGACGTTGTCCTTCCAGGGGATGTCCGATTCCTTATCCCACTTCGTGTCGTCCTTCTCACTACTCTCTTCAACGTCGCTGTCGTTAGAAGGAAGAGAACTTTTATGATAATCCCAAGAAGAACCATGACGCCACCTACGGCCCGATGCCCGAACGGAAAGGGCATCTGTTCGGTTGTCCTTCTCTTTCACAAGATCGGGTTGACGTACACTCGCTGCGTAGATCGATATCGAAAATGCCAACAAAAGTAAACCACTGGACGGGAGCATGGTTGTTCTGCTGGTCAAGTGTATTCTGAAGATCTTGGCCGAGTTGACCACCTGAAGATGAGCAGGGGGCAATGTGTCGGCCAGAGTGTTGATTAGCTGTATTTGAATAGAGAGGAGGATGAGGAGGACAGGGCTAGATGAAGTGGTGACACAAGACATTGGCAAGGTTGAAAGAGCCTATGTACTGTAGTAGTCCGGCGTTATGTTTGGCGAAAGACGCCCATCTCCCTCCCGATGAAAAGCGCGCAGCGAAGAATTTTCGTTTGGGCGACCGATTTCGTGGAAGACTTAGCATTTGATGCAAATTCCTGTCCTATCCAACTCTACAATGACGTTTGAGGTCGTAAGCAGACCCGGAGATAGATGGGAGGGAAGTGTGACTTATCGAGAAAACACAAAAGTGGGTTGGACACAGAAAACAGGGTTGCGAAGAATCATTTATTGATTGGCCAAATTCCTGGCCACCTCTCTGCAATACGTTTTGCAGTACATGGATATTTCTGAAGGCTTTGATTCTGTGTATTGATTCTTTTTCTTACCCAAACAAGTTGCTGACTACTTCTCCTTGAATTTTTACTGCAAACGGCCATGGACACAAACTGAGGACTCACTTGAAACCCTGCTTTATCTTCATCTCTCATCTTGAGGGAGGGATGCGCTCCCCGAATATGCTCTTTACACAACATTTCAAAAGCCTACCTGTAGGAAACTCATATCTTCGCTCCTACATCATCCCCAAAATATGCTTGCTTATGCTCATCATCTAGACGCTAGAACACAGCCCATGTTATTTTCTTACAGTTGCCCAGAAGACCACATTAGGCGATGCCGGGCACCAGCCTCACCGAGATCTTTGAACCAGTTGTCATTTATATCGAAATTGGGATGTTGTAGTCGCATGGTTCTCTCATGGCGTTCTGCTAACTTACCAATCCACGTCACGTCTTGATCGACTTAGATTTATGAAGAAGCCATTACGTTGCGTTTTTCGATCAGCCATTTTGAGACGTATGTAATGCACAGGGTTTATATCGCTGCCTCACTCTATACATAAAAACCTATTCGGCTCCAAGGTTTTGTAGGTACCACTTACAGCCGAAGATCTCCAGAGGAAACGATTCGGCCTTTTGGGGGTTTGTGTCACGCTGTTGAGAGGAACTAGCAAATGCATTCGAGATTATAGGTCATACAGAAAAAGCTATATGCGTTAACCGAGTCACAACACATCGCAAAGCACCCATAAGCAATATCTGCGCTTGAGCAAGCAGATCGAGATCCAAAAAGGTTCACTTGAACTGCTTGTCTAGAACCATTTCCATTAACTTTCTTCTCTTTAACTTCCTCCTCTTTAACTTCTTCCTCTTTAACCTTTCTCTCGACGGATTCCATACTATCTTCATTTTCTTCTTTCGCCAGGTGAGCCTGCCGCCCTGCCTCCCATCCAAAAATAGGTTCACGTCCTAGCTGCATGGCGTCTGGGTCGATAGTTTTAAGGTAAGCGCAGTACATTGCTGATGCATTGTTTGGCGCTATTACTGCCGAGCAAGTCATCCACTCCTCTTCGACTCCGTGGTAGAATTCACCAGTAAGGTTTTGTTGATATTGCTCCTGAAACGCGGAGATAAACTTTGAGAAGACTCTCTGTTGCTCTTCTTGTGGCTCCTCGTCGAAGACCTGGTTTCGGTTCGCCACTATTTTCCCACGGATGGCTCGCTGTGTAGTTGATTGTGAGTTTGAGTTAGAATTCATTTCCATGTTTGAAATGATTTCAATCCTCTTCATTTCCATCAAGAAGGCAGCCAAGCTTTCTCCTTCTCGATATGTGCGAATAGCATTATATCCTGTCCTCCTTTTGATGCGAGCACTGTTATTTGCAACGGATTCATTTCCCGCGAAAACTGCTTCGAATCGGCTAGACATCCGATATTTGCTGTTTATGTTGTTGTTGTTGTCGTCGTCGTTCTGCTCGTTCTGCTTCTGGACGATACCCTCAAGTTCCAATTCCAGGATCTTCTCAGCACACGACGTGAGAATCAAACTGTTCTCTTTTAGATTCTCATAGTGCTTTCTGACCAACCTCAAGCACCGAGAAACCATTTCAGGCCTCCAGTATTTGAATTCGGGGCGCTTCTTTAGATTGCTTGATTTCACTTTCTTACTGCAACAAGCCTTACGACGCTTCAGATTCGGTATAATGCATGCATGTTTCACTTCACCATCCATTAACATTTTTTCATGCTCCTGTTCATGCCTGCGGAACCACGCAAGAAGCCAAGAAGGAATCCTTTTCCTGCTTTTGCTAGGAAGGGTTTGCTTTCCGACCTGAGTTGCACGTCTCTTGATAAACATCCTCGAAGATCCTTCGATGACATTTTCAACATCGATTCCCTCCTGTGTAAGAAGAAAAGCTTTGTTGATGTGATAATCAGCCTCCTCCAAAGTTGTACTTTCTTCACTTGAAGCCACAGATGTAGTCAATGCTGCAAGAAGCAAGCATAGGAACATTTGTGAAGAACATGGTAACGCCATCGAGCCTAAGCGTTCGGCAGAAAGGTTTTGGTGGGGTAGCGAGGATTCTTCAGATGCCTGTTCCAAATAGTGCGATATTCATTCATGCGGAAATATGGATGATAGGTCGCGAATGAGCTGGGGAGCGAGGTCGAGCCTCTCCGTCTTGAGCCTCTCCACCTTGTGGAGTGAAATTCATGATAATCGCAAGATATGGAATCAAATCTCCACAGGATCGTCCTTCTCTCTATAAAATGGGACCGTTCTTTGGCACACTTCAGCTCCAAGTTGCTAATGCCTTTTGAAAATTCCATGTTTCATGTCCCTTTTAGATCTTTGAAAACTGATATCTCGTCTACGATTTCCTGGCATTTTTGTGTTGAAGGGCGAACGCCATCATAATACGTCTAGAGATCTTATACGCTGTAAGTTTCGGAAAAAAAAAACGAGATCCGTATCGGTTTGATGTCCTCAAAACTAAATACCCCTTTCTCTAACTAATACTAATCTTCATGTGCAGTCAGGAGCGGAGGTATAAACCAAATTCTACTATGAAAACAGTACACGACGAGACTCAAAAAATGAAAGGCAAGCATACATCCTGTTAATTTGGACTGCCCCTTGCTCCATCCCGACGTGATGATGTATCCCGACGTGATGATGTAATGAGAATATCGGTGTGAATGTTGGCGGGCACTGTGATTTGAAAAAGTTCATGTTTTTTTGGCAGATCAAAAAATTGAAATCGTTGCTTTCAGACTGAACTACGGGATGGAACTTCCGATTCCAAACAGATGGCCCACAAAACAAATCAACATGCCTGAGATTGGGACATCTTTTTTTTACGCTGGGGCAGGGTAGCGCAGATATCTCTGCCCGGCAGAGATATCTGCGCTACCCTGCCGACATTGAGGCATCTTGCTTCCGCTGCGAAAACCATCTCTGCGCTGGCCTTTAGCGGAAAGCTGCGTGATCTTTGCAGAACCTCGAATACCCCAAACGTCAAGACTTGCAGGTGCGAAAAAGAAAGATGCGCAGACACAGGTACTCTTTGGAAACAAAGTCCAACTTCGTTACGACTGATTTATTTGCTCTATCGCATACCTCTAAATCGGCGTGTGGAACGGGTACGAGCGCTTGACGTGTGAATAAAATCATTGCAATGTCATCACCTCAAGACCACACACGGTATCCCATCCACCGTCTAATCCCTGTGGTACGGAACGTAGATGTAGTGCTCATCCGGTTCAAGCTTGCATGTCTCCGTCCCGTGAATAGGCACGATACGGTGCGTAATAAATCTTTTGATGCAAATGAGAGAATCCTTGGCCTGGCTCGTGCACTCATACTTGGGTTCGCATCTTCGGCTGTCGCAGATCTTCTTTCGAAAATCGATGAAGTAGTGGCATACCGAACCATCCGCAGACCGTACCTCTCGGCAGGCGCATGTTTTCAGATCGCCTCCCGACCCCTGGCCGTTTAACTTCTGGCAGCGCTTTTCGTCACCTTCGATAATAAGTCGCGCAAAGACAATGGCGGAAGGGCGCTGGGCGTTGCTGGCCCAAACATATCGCGCGCCCCTCGAATACGGAAACGGCGTGGCGCGAACCCTCGGGGGCTTCTTCGGGGCGACCGGCAGGTCCCACATACAATCGTTGAAGCCCTTCTTCATAAACGCGAATTGCTGGGCGGGATCCGGGGTCTTGTACATAGCGGTAACCCTCCACGGCCCTTTGCGCGGGCGCGTGGTGATGTGGCGGCCGCGGTGGTGGACATCGACAACAAACCCAAACTCGTGCGGAAGAGTTTTCTTGTCTCCTGATTTGAGAACGGTATCCATGGCCTTGACAGCGACGACGTCGCCCTTCTTCAACGGATAGCGCTTCTTGGCGACCTGGGATCTGGACAAAACATCCATGACATGAAAACCATTAACAAAAACCCAGGCGCGATCGGTCGCGGCGACGGTGATAAGCGACCAATCCTTCTGGGCTTTCAGGCGTCGACACATGCTGGTATCATGGCCACCGACAACGTATCGAAAGCGGACATAATCATACTTTGGTCTCTTGCCCTTTGCCCAGATAAAGCTAGCGCCGCTCTCCCCCACGGCGTCGACGACGCTCGCGCCGGCCCAGTCGCACACGGGCTCGTATTTGAGCTTCTTGGTCCAGGCCTTGTGGTTGAGCGCGGCCCTGCGGACGTACTGGGCGCGCCACATGGGGCCGGAGTTGACGGCGCGGCCGATAACCATGACGGCCGGGCGCGAGCGCCGGACGCGGGCGACGACGGTGAGGATGTCGCTCTTCTGCAGGGGGCTGGGCAGGCGTACGGCGGTCTTCCCCGGGCGCGGCAGGTGGGCGAGGCGCAGGCCGTTGAGGAAGAGCGTGGCCGGCGTGCGCGCGATGAGAACGATGTAGTTGGGGCGCACGGGGCGGGCGCTGCGCTTGTGAAGGGCGCGGGCGCGGTCGGACGGCAGCGCATCCGGGTGCGCGGAAGCGAAATGGATTAGCGCGAGGACGAACAGGGACAGGGGAAGAGGGTGGAGATGCATCGCGTAGGGGAGGAGGGGGACGGTGGGGGCCGGGGCAGTGGTCGGGTTGCACGGCGGTCATCGTGGGGGCTTATATCGGAGGCGGGAGGGGAAGGATGCATTTGGTCGGCATTAGTGCAAGGGGCGGGCGGACGGGAGACGGGGAGCGAGGGGGCTGCATGGTTGGCGAGAAGGAGGAGGCGGGAATGCAGAAGTTGAAGTTGAGAAGGGGCGTGAAGAGGCGTGAAGGTGAGCGGGAGGGAGGAGCAGCGGGCAGCGAGAGAGAGATGAAGAATGCTGTCGTATCTTACATCTTACACGTGTACATAGCCCCTCCACGGTATTTAACACCGTCGTCGCTCCTTCCCTCTTCAGTAAACATGAGTCTCTCCTACAAATGCAAAGCAGCCGGCGGGGCGAAAAGGGTTTTCGGTCACCAAATACAAAGCACCCAAAGTAATTGGCTCCCACTGCAATTTCAACCCCTGTGTCCACGTGTGCCTGTTGTCATCCGCCACTAAATACAAATCACTACAAGTAGTTGCCCTCCCCGCAATTACAAAGGCCCCGGTGTCCACGTGTGCCAGGTGTCGACGGTTAGGCCGATCATTGTGGTGATTCCGTGGTGATTCCTTCACCCTCAAAACGGGGCATGTTAAGACACACCCTGAGGGTGTGTCCCTGAGGGTGTGTCTTAACAGGCTGGTTTTTGCTCTCTGACAGTCATTCCTCCCTCATGTCGTTGGTCAGCGGGTTCTCCCTGGATGTAAATAAAGATGTAAGGTATATGATAGTCTTGCTCAGTGGTTATCACAATCATACATTGGCGACATCTTCTTGCGCCTTTCGTGCGCGGTCGTGCGTCTCCGTCCTCCGCATCTCCCGCTATCCCCTGCACCTTTATACGACATGTCCCAACCTTCCGACATCTGCGCCCAGCCTCAATCCTCCGCTCCCCATCATCCGCAATGGGCTGCACTCCCTCCAAGCCGCGCTCCGAGACCTCCGCGCGCGCGCCCGCGCCCGCGAAGCCCGCGCCGCCGCGCCCCGCCCCCGTCGCGACGCACGAGACCGCCTCCTCCGCCAGCCTGGTCGCCGGCTCGACGGCCGCCGTCGCCTTCCACGGCCTGCTCAACAGCGATGGCCTGACGCTGTCGCGCCCGGCCACGTCCGCGCTGTCCAAGGTCTCGCGCGTGCCGCGCGCGTCGTCCTCGCCGCCGCCGCCGCCGCCGGAGCCGCTGACGCGCGTGGTCGGCGTCGCCATGACCATGCCGTACGCCGTCCTCGTCCCGACCGTCGCGGACGCGCCCGCCGTGCAGCGCCTCGCGGACGACGTCTTCGCCCACGCCCACACCTATCTCAACGCGTGGAACCCGGCCAGCGAGCTCACGGCCGTCAACTCGCAGAAGCCCGCCAAGCCACGCCCGCTCTCGCCGCACCTCGCCGCCCTGTTCGACGTCGTCGACCGCGCCTTCGACCTCACAGGCGGCCGCTTCGACCCCACCACTGGCGTCATCTCACGCGCGTACGAGAACTGCATCGCCGACAACGCACGCCCGCCGCTGCCGGCGGAGACGGCTCGGTACAAGCACGCCATCGGCTGGCGCAAGCGAATCTCACGCACCGCAGACACCGTCACGCGTGGCAACGCAAACACCATCGTGGATGTCGACGGCATTGCCAAGGGATTCGTGATTGACTTGCTCGTCGCCGCCCTCATCAACGCTGGACACCCGAACTGCTACGTGGACTGGGCCGGCGATATCCGCGCGCAGGGCCACCACCCAGACGGCAGGCCGTGGCGCTCGGCCGTCATGGCCCCGCCGTCGCTGAAGCGCGTATTCGGGCACTGGAAGGACGGAACCATGGACGAGCTGCTGCGCGACGACGACGTCGCCTTCTTCGCAGACTTTGCGTTCGACCGCGCAAACGCCGGCAAGCTTGACGGCGCCGCCATCGCCACGTCGGGCGACTACTTTGCCGTGCAGCGCTACGGCTTCCACCATATCGCGCGCGCAGACACGCTGTCTGTCATGAAGGCCAACCAGATGTCGGTCGCGTCGGTGTGCGTCGCCGCGTCGACGTGCGCCATCGCCGATGCCGTCGCCACTGCGTCGATGACGTTTGACCGCCTGCCGCAGGCCGTGGCCTTTCTGCAGCAGCTCGTCGACAGCCACCCGGACACCGTGTATGGGTATTGCGCAATGGACCGCGCCGAGGCCACGTGGCCCGACGCACCCGCTAAGAGCCTCTACTCGGCAAACATCTTCAGCCCCGCCCTGCGGAGCGAGCCCAACTCCACGTCCACGAGCTCCGGCGATGAGAAGGGCCTCTCCGCCGCAGAGCGGCAGCAAGCGGTTGCTGATATTGGGCACCACACAGTGACCAACTACTACCGGTGCACGTTTGACGGGGCGGAGATTGAACTTGACAACTTTCGCGGGTGCTCCATGCAGCCGGAGCAGGTGGTCTTATTTGTGACGGATGACGAGTTTTTCAAAAGGGCGTCGCTCGTCGCGGAAGACCCCCTCAACCAGGTAAGGGTGGAGCTTCTCGCGCCGCGGCCTTCGACGTCGTCATCATCATCATCCTCGTCACTGATGCTGGACGAGCGCAAGACAGGCGTCACGGCCGACTTATCGCTGAAGAACATCTCCGTCGTGGGCGGGTGCGCCGTGGTACAGGCGGTGGTAACGGCGGTGAGCCTAGGCGAGGCGGAATTCGTGCAGGCGATTTACCGAGACACGTACCTTGCCAAGCGGGCGGTGGCACTCGACGTACCGCGCTCCAAGCTGCCGTTCTACCCACTGGACAAGCAAACCAAAACGTTGCTGCGGCAGATGCCGTCGGCGATGTGGGTGGTGTCAACCAGCGCGGCGCACGGGGAGGATCTGGCGATGACGGCGACGTCCGTCACGGTGCCTGCGGCGGCGCGCGGGATGATATGCTTCAATGTGGGGCACTCGAGCGCGTTCTACGCGGGGCTCGGCGGGGTCGGGGCGGGCGTGAGGCTGTTCGCGCTTTCGACAAGGCAGAAGGACATTGCCGAGCGGTACGTGACGAGGGCTGCGTTGGGGAAGGAGGATAGGACACGGCTGGAGGAAGAGTGCATGGTGGCGGCAAGTTGCACGATTGAGCATACCGAGGATGTGCAGGACCATCACATTGTTTTGACGAAGATTGACGGCGTCAAGGTGCCGGAGAAGGACGAGGAGGGGTTGATGCCTTTGGTTTGGCAACACGGAAAGTTGATCACGGAAAGTTGATCACGGAAAGTTGATCACGTAGCGGTAGGCGCCGGGTGCTGAGAGTCGGCCCTTGTGCGCTACAGTATTAAATTATATAAACGCTTTTTTAATTGAAACAAGGTCTTGAGCAAAGAAAAATGCAGCAACTCACAACTCAGAAATGGCCATTAGACTCGCCCCTCCCGGTGCACCGCCGTTCCCATCGCCGCCCTCTCGTTTCCCCCCCTTTCTATCCCGATCGCCTCCGCCGACGACACCCTCATCCTCACTGAAGGGAACGTCATCCAAGCCCTCGACGGTGAACAAAACACACACTCGTTCTCCCGCCATTTTTTGTACACATACAAGTATGTGAAATGTATTGCAGAAGGGACTTCACTATACATGTATATATCACATTCAGGTTGCAACGTGTTTCTGACTGTCGTACCTCCGGTGAGTGAGAATGTCCGGCGAGCAAGAATGGCCGCGGCAGGAAACAATGTCGTCTCTGGCCATCCCACCGAGCACAAGGAAGAGTGCCTGGCCTCGGTCTACTTGACGGTGTAACCACAAACAAGTGCTGATCGGATAGCCACGGCGGTATCCCGTACCCCTGTCTTCTTCCTCCCTGTTTCCAACCATCTCTTAAGAGATGGTTGGAACAGGGACACTCAACACACTTACACATTAATACACATTAATGTGTCTTTCCAGCACACTGGCGGCCGTTACTAGG